TTATTATTGTTTCTCGCTTTTCCTTGCACTGAAAATATTGAATGCTTAAAGGAATGAGGAATCTGTTTCTGTTACCAACACTAGTATTACAGTTTTTAATCTTGTCCTATCAGAGAGAATTTGCAGTACTATCTGTCCTCACCCTCTCCTTCCAGCCTAAGAGTAAGCCAGTGCTGTCAGTCCATTTACAGAATGCTTTCTCCTTTACTACAAAGGTGCCCGCCTCTCTCCTACTCTAAACACAACAGCCCTTGGCCCAGATAACGACCTCTTAACGGTCTCTCTGGGTCTTCTCTCTCTTTGCCAAACCTTGAAATCCCTCACCTTTTGCCCTTCAGTTTTTCTCTCTCTGCTCGACTTTAACCTGTTTCTGAGGTTCTCCTCTGGAATCAAACAGCAAAGATTATACTTTCAGCATTGCCTCTCACCCGCTTAGTGACCACTGGCTGGTCACATGGCCTCTCCACACCTAACAGGACATATACCACGGGCTGTCATGAAAACAAGTAAGAGAGTGCAAAGCACTTCTGTGTGACCTGGCAAGCAGTTGAGTATTATACGGATGTTACACTTACTGATTAAAAGTGTAACTGGACTTCAGAGATGAGAAAGATTTGTGCAGGCTTAAGTGTTATTTTGCTGAGCATGGTGATGCATGCCTGTAATCCCAGCACTTGGGAGGCTGCAGCAAGAGGACCCCTGTGAGTTTGAGGCCAGCCTGGGCTACATAGTGACTTCAAGGCCAGCTGAACTACATAGCAAGACCTTGACTCAAAAAACAAACATTATTTTGAGTTTATCTAACTGCTCATTCATTTTTCAGATTAGAAAGTCAGAGCATGAGAGAATGAGTCGTCAATGTCAGAAATTTGAGTTGGATTTTGAAGGATAACAAGAATAGCTTGCATGTATTGACTGTTCTTTCTGAGTCAGGGACTATTCTAAGTACTTCTCATGGATTGTTTTATTTAATCTTCAAAACATTTCTGCTGTAAGCAGGATTTCAGTACATAGAAGTAAATATGACCAGAAACTGGTCAGAGGACATAAGAATGAGTGAAAGGGAAGACATGCAGATTTCTGTGTTGATGGGACTTAGCAGCTAGAGTAAAGAGTTTGTTTAAACAGTAATGAGAAACAATGTTGGACAGAGGTGAATTTATAGGAGGCCTTGACTACCTTACCAAAAAAGAATGTGGCTTTCGTGAGGGTCAAAATAAAGAGCAGTTGTAGTAAATGTATGACTTTGGGAAGACAGGATATAGGATGGAAGTAGAGGTTTACGCACACTGCTTTGGTGACATGCACTGGGGAGCCATTTGGACAGTGTTCTTCAAATTGCAATGGAAATCACATTTCAGGACAGTATGATAGTATTGTTCCTGTTAAAGCTTTTGTCTCTTTCTACTCCTATCCCGTCTACTCAAACTTACCAGTTTTATTTCATAATTGTATTATTGTTGGAGTCCACTACTGAAATTCTGGCCAGAAAGCCTCTCCCCATTCCTACCTGGCAGTTGCTCCTCCATCCTTACGTTCATACACCTGTGATCTCCCATGGACACCTATTCTACCATTTCATTCTAGGTTTCGGCTGGAATCTCTGCCATTTTTCAGAACCATATCCCATACCACCTTCTCCACGCTGTGATGATCAATCCAGTTGGAACTGACTGCTTTCTTTTCCAAATCCTCTCCATGTTGGGTGTGTTAGTCACTTTTCTTTTGATATGATGAAATATCTGATATAAATCAACCTGGAGAAGAGGGTTTTATTTTCTCTCATTGCTTTTGAGGTTTCAGAAATGGTTAGCTGGCAACATGGCTTTTAGGCTTATGGTGGGGTATAAATAACATGACAGATGGAGTAATAGAGGAAATGTGTTCATTTCACTGTAGCAAAGAAGCAGAGAGTGAAAGCCAAGCTAGAAGGGACAGAGAACGAAATATAGAGTACCCAAGGTTTGTAGTCATAATCCACTCCCTTAAGCCCGACTTCCTGTTCTCACTCCTTCTCCATAATGATTTTATCAATGGATTAATCCACAGATGAAAAGAGCCATCAACAATCCAGTCACTTCTCTAAAGCCTATGAGCTCTGAACACATGAGTGTGTAGGGGTCATGTTTAGATTTAAACTGTAACATTTGGTAAACTTGCTACCCATTTACCAGTATTCTTTCTTTCATTCTTTAAGTTTTTAGGTATTTGGTACAGGGTCTTATTACATAGGTTGGACTGGTAGTGATCCTCCTGTCTCAGCCTCCCTGACATCGGGATTTATAAGCGTGAGCCACCACATCTGGTTTTGGTGGCTGGCTCAGTGTGCCTGGGGCAGGGCCAGTGCAGCATGCTGTGCCAGAGATCGAACCCAGGCCCCTATGCTTGCCAGGCAGGCGCTTAGAACGCTGAGCTATCTCCTCAGTCCATCTACCAATATTCTGTTTGTATTCCCTGCGATGATAGTACATTATTGTCTACTTAATTTGTGGTGTGAACTGAAGCTATTTTTCAATACTCTAAACCTTTTTCCCCTTTGAGGTAAAATTCAGTTTTATGCAACCCTGAGAATTTCAGGTCACTTTTTATTGGGGATACTTAGAAGTTAAGAATAGAAAGAAAAGTTAAAGACAGCAGAGGACTAGCCATTTATTTAAAAAAAAAAAAAACACTTTGAATTGTGTAAGGAAGCTGAGGAAAATTAAATTTTATCTGATGTACTCCTGCCCCCTTATCTTGAAGAGACTGGAACTGAATGTGGGAGGCGCTTGGGAATCCAGAGGGAACTTTGTTAAAAATCCAGGGCATCCTGGAGCTGACTATACAGTAATAAGGAAAAAGATGTTTCTGAGCAGGCATAAATCTGCACAAAATTGTACTGAATTCATAAGCATATCTCAGAACTTGCCAGAGGATGATTTTAGAATTTCTAGAGCACAAGGAATTTGCGTAATGCCCATTATGACTACTGCTGGATGTGGAGTTATCTGCAGGCTGTTAATACCATTTTTTAAAAATTCACTCATGACTGAAAACCTCTTACTTACTCCTGCACTGCCTTCAGTTCCTCAAGCAGAGATTTTACTACTAGAATTTTCAGGAATCTAATATTGTAGGCTGGAGAGGACGATGGCGGCAGAGTGCAGCCAGTATTTTCAGAACTGTTAAACCTGGCTATGTAGGTGTCAGTATTCCACAGGAGAGTCGCCAATTCTCGAGGTTCCCAGAATGTGGTATCTTTCTCATGCCCATCTTTGCACCTGCTACCGCCCTTGCCTGAGGTACCCTTCTTCTATGTTTTGCAAAGTTAACCCATACTTATCCTACATAACTTTGAGTTATCTCCTTCTCTAAAAAAATCTTTCCCCTGAATACTTTATCAGAGCCTGTCCCCAGTCTGGTGCCCCTCCTGCCTATTGCCACTAGCCTGGGCAATCATTATAATATCGCACCATGTGACATTTGGAATTTGCAGGTCCTGGTCCCTGTGTGAGCTCCTGTGATAGGAGCCCCGTGGGCTCCAAATAATCAGCAGCATACTTACGAAGCTCAAGAGAGGTTTGCTCATGGAATGCATAAATGTATGTATGGTCTGTGGGTAGGAAAGGTATGCGAATCTCTGCCTCAAAGAGCTCAGCTATCAATATTGGAGTTTTCGGATAATTTTGGAGAACCACAATCCGAGCCCTGTCTTCTCTCCACCTGGCAGTGTGTAGCAAAATGTGCTAGAATTTCCCAAAGTGTGCTCCTATAGAAATAAAGGTAACGATTAATGGTACCTGGAGACCAGCCTAGAAAGCACTTTGTCAACATGCCCTACGCTAATGACAGTTCCTATCAAACACCATATTTGAGAATCATGATTATTTTTACTGTGGAGTATCCCAGGAGAAAAGCAGAGTTACAAAAATACTTCTATCTTGAACATTTGAGATTTTGCTGCCAAATTTATCAAATCCATTCCACCCCAGCAATCTTTCCAATTTGTAAAATACCCCACTAAACAGATGCATACCCATTTTCATGTACAATATAAACCAACTGGTAGCGGTCTCCCATATCCATCTAAATCTCTTCTAATTTAGCTTTTCTCCTGGTGGGAGCTCTATAGACTTTTATGTGATTCAATTTCAAAGTTTTTCACACATACAAGGAGAAGAGTAAGTGCGAACCCACGGCTATGTTAAAGTAGCATTTTCTCGAAGCGCAAACAAAAATCCTTCAGTAGACACCGAGGACAGCTCTAGAATTTCGAAGCCTGAGCTTTGTTTTTCGTAAACATTACGGTGTAATAGTAATTATTCCTTTAGCTTCAATTACAATGATGGAGTAAAGGCTTGAGGGAAAACATACCTTTGTAACTGAATAGACTATAAATAGTGTATTTACATTGAGCCTAGTAGGTGGGAAATTGACCAGTTTTTTGAAGCAGCGCCTATTATTATAGCCCAAAGTTTCATTTGACATAAAAAAAATAACATCTGGTAAAAGTTTACCCAAAGTACCATTTCGCCCCCGATTTCGTTTTATTTTTTTCTTTCAAATTTCTTGTTTTCACGAATACGCGTTTCCATGTAGTTTTATTTTGAAGTCTCAAACAGCCGCGCTCCCGGAGACGCGCTCCGCCTGCGGCCGGCCGCCGGAGCGCCGCGCCCCCCAGGGCCCCCTGCCCC